TAATATATACTTTAACTATGAGAATAGGTAAGTTATAAAGAAGAAAGTTATTTTATAAGCTTTTTTTATCCAAATATAAACAATATATGATGGTGTTTTAATTTATGTCTCATTTTGCTTAATAATCATAAAAAGTTAAATTACATTTTTTAGTACCGTACTAAATTTGGCCATTTTTATTTCTATTATTAAAAGTTTATGAGACACTCTATGGTTAGTTAAAGGTTATAACACCTTCGACGTAACGAGTTGTTTAAGAATACATAGCAAAACGTCGTTGTTCAAAATCAGTTATACCCTTTAATTTTTAGTTTTTTTTTTTAGTCTTTAGTAGTGATATTATGGAAGTTATTGAATCAGCGCAACAAAGTTTAAGTTGCAAAAAGATAATTAAGCCTAATTATTAAAATGACAAGAATTATTATTGTAAAAGTAAGAATTATATTGATGAAAACAGAATAATTTGAATGTGATGAGTGTAGCAATGTGTGCATTGTGATTAAACAAAGAGGAGATTTCAAAATCCAAGAGCTTTTTCTTAAGGAAAGCAAAACAAAGATCAAGAAAAACAGAGGCATTGACCAAATTTAGGTCAAATTTTAGCTTATGGGAATCAGCAAATTTGGTTGCAAAATTAATGTGCTCTTGTGGAATCTTCATATATTTTAATGCACATAGTTGTTTCATTTTTTTTATTTTTAATGTATTTAAAAAAATAATAACAATCGTGTTTTAATTAGAGAGAAATTTAATTTTATACGACTTAAATTAATTTATCTTCAATTTAAAATTATGTTTGGACAAATTATTTAATTTTTTTTAGTAGTGGGTGAGAATTCGAACTCGTAACTTTTTAGATGCGATATTTACTTAATCGCAAAAACCATAGTATGAGAAAGACTTTTTTTTCTCTGTCATTTAATTATGGGGCAACTAGAGAAATGGCTAATGAAAAATGGCCAAAATAATCAAATATCACGAAAATGGATAAAAGGCAGTTAGAGTTGAACTACAAGATTGTATGTGGACAAATTTACCCTCCAATCAAAATAGGTAAATTTATCTTGACACTATCCCTATAAAATTGTGACGAAAATACCCATCATCAAAATCTTTAGTACACCTAAATTCTAGGAAACAAGATAGTAAATCAAAATTATACCGTTCAAAAATTTTAAATCACATCTAGATTTAGAAATTTAAAAAAATGTAAGATAAAATCTGTTGAATGCATACTTTGAAATAAAAAAAAAAGATTGAATCAAAATGTAAAATAGACTAAAAAAACGTAAAATCAAATTAG